GTATTTTCGCCCACAAAATTGTATTTAATTACAATTGTATTTGAAATACGCACGTCTTAGTATTTAAATACACACGTCAAATACATTGCCCAATTTGTAATTAAATACAAATGCAAAATACACAAAGTATGTGAAATAAGTATTTCAAATACTTGTATTTGAAATACTGCCCATCCCTGGGTGTCACAAAACAAATATTTTCAATTTTTTTTTTACCGCAAAAATAACTAGGCATCGCCGAACTCTCATTCTCCGCCTAAAAGTAGCGCTAGAGGTCAAAACCAAATGCCAAAGTTTCAGATCCAATACCTTAATCAAAAGTTATAAGTGATTTTTCGAAAATTTCAATTGGAAAATGGAGCCCATTTTTGCCCGTTTTGGGTTTCTGGTGCCATAGAGTCCCATGTATTCGAAAACTCCGTCGGCCGCCATTTTCCTACTGAAACTTTCAGAAAATCATTTATAACTTTTGAATAAGGTATCGGATCGGGCTGAAACTTTGGCATCTGGTTGTGACCTCTAGCGCTACCTTTGGGCGGAGAATAAGCGGTCAGCGACGCCTAGTTTATTTTCACAGTTTATAAAAACTTGTATTTTTTTTTTTTGGGGGGGGGGGGGCACCTTGTACATAGTGATTTCTTGCGTTGACTATATTTGCCTTATTCTTTAAGATCATAAATGCCGGATCATAAATATACCTTGCACTTTTTATTCCGCCATTAACATTCAACCACTATCACTTAGCGAATTCGCGCTGTCATAAATAATTGGCTTCTTTACCCTCGTCTGTCTGAGAAACATCTACATACTCAAAGTGCGCCAGGGCTAACGCTGACTCCTTTCCTCACGCGTGTCTGGTACACCGACGGTTCAAATCGACATAAACTGTTATAATATAACGTGTGGAAGTTATGCATATCATGATGGCATGCAGTTAGGTAGTAAAAGTAAGATCAGACACTTCACAAAGCAAGGCTAAAAATATCGGTGAAACGCAAAAAAAAAAAAAAAGACAAACAAACACACGAATACAACGCCTTCTTCAAGGCGCGGAGGGGTTTGAGGAGCGACGATTTAAAGCGGGGTGGCGGAGGAAGGGGGGGGGGGGGGGTTGCAGCGATTTCCAGACTTCGGTGAAACATTTGTGGAAGTTGCACTCTGACACTTGCAAAGTAAAGAACAGAAAACCAATTTCGCCCGCGTGTCGTAGTTGTTGTGTAAAAAAAAAGATAAATATTGTTATTTCTCGCACCCCTCAACTCACTCCCAGTCTTCAGGGTCACACCTGGTCCCTTTCCTAATGACGTAATTCGGGGTGCCGTGTAGCTCCCGTGCGCTCTCTTGGAGGACGCTCCTTTCCCTCTCTCTGCTGACATTAGCAGGCGTCATGCTGGAGCTTAGAGCCGAGCGAGGTCACATAAGCTTTTCGTCGTAGTTCCTTCGGCTGCCACTCGCGGCTGCAGGTGGTGGAAAAAGCTCGACTTCTCTTTTGCGATTATGCAGCGGAATCTTGACATTTTTTAATGAAGAGGTTTTCTGTATCCTCCGGGACAGGATAAACAACATAAAAATGACGAGAGGCAAATTCTTTTAATCTTAAAATCGGTGCTCCCCCCCCCCTTTTAAGGCCACCTTATGGCGGCCGCGTCACGTGATTCCAAGATGGCAGCGCCCATGCGTCGGAGGTTGAAAAGGTTCATTTTGTGAAAGCTGCTAGTAATTATAGCTTTTTGCTAACTTCCTTTGTAACCTTGAATTTGTGTTTAAGTTTTCCGACGTTGAACATTATCTTTAAAGGGACACTGACAGGGTATTTATGCTCGCCGAGGTTTTGATTTGTACGTGACATATGAGAGCTCAACTACCCAGAACAGAATTTGCGGCTCGAAATTCGGTTTCTTTCCGCCCGAAAACCGCCGATCAAGAACTGGCCGGTTCGAGTCTCGCTCACTCTCTTTTCCGCGGTCACGGGCCGTTTTCTAAGGTATCGATGCGACCACCAAATTTAATCGAAGTCGTAGGTCACTGAAGGCACACACTCAATATTAAAAATAGAAAAAAATATGAAACCAATTTTTTGTGGCTTCTAAAAAGCTGCAAATACGTTGATTGAAAAAAAGTTCCACAGACAACCGGAAGCATTCTGTGCGTTCGTCTTTTCGTGTATCGTGGGACTCGCGGGGACGGCGGTGGCAGCGGACGACGGGCGTGGGACCTCTATTTCAGAACTGTCGTTCGCGGTACCGGCGAATTCTGTCTACCTTTAAAAGAGAAATTTGGGACTGATCAAAAGAATTGGTATTCATCCCGTACGACACGCCCGACCACCAAGCCGATTTGCACGAAGATGTCGCCGAGCCGTCGCTCCCTTCTCGTGGCTGAAGACATCGCTCGCGCAAACGTCAAGCACGACGTGACTACTTCGGGTTTAATATGCACGCGTACGATTTCTTTACAAGGTGCGAATGTCGCCCATGCGTGGTGCTTCCCGACTTCGACCCGGGAGTGCTTTTGCTAGAGGAAAATCGGCAGCTAACTTTGCAACTTACAGTTTACCGGCTGAAATATTACTAAGAAAAGAGATCCCGCAGTGCAGAGTTGCCCCAGTAGCTCAGTGGGAAAGACGTCCGCTTCACACGCGGTAGAACCGGGTTGGATCCCCCGTGAAACCTTTTTTTTTAATTTTTTGATGTTTACATATCTTTTTTTTTTACAGTTATCACTGAAGAAACAAGCAAAAAAATAACAAACACATGTTGTGGACGACACTTCGCTGAATTAAATGGTATGGGATTTCCTTTTTGACACCTGCGAACTCAATGTAATCACTTTCCACAAAATGCAAGGAGCATATAAATCAGGTAACGTCCGCTTTCCGAGGTGTCCGTATATGTTCTACAGGAATTGCAGCCAGTCATTGGTCCCGATCCCGTTGATCTTTCGGAAACTCTGTCGCACAATGCCCCTTTTTTTTCGGACGCAGGACATGTGAGCCAGCTCTTCACGCAACATCTTGGGTGTATTCTTTTCGGAGCCGATCATGGAAATTCACCACGGGCACTCACTACTCATCTCCAACTTCTCAATGTACAAAACAACTCATCTTGGAGTACAGAACAACGAGCGGAACAAACATAACTCACGGCGAACAGTTCCCGCACGCCGCATCGCACGCCGCATGTCCTGTCGTCTGCTACCGAAGAGAGAAAAAAAAAAAAAAAACGCACGGTCGGGTGTAGCCACGTGACTTCCGCCACTCCACTCTCTTCTCTCCACTTCTCCGACCTCCGTCGGGTTTCGGTTTCGGTTTCAAGCAGTTGCGTCTTTTGACTTTATTAAAAAAATACGCTACGCTGTTGCAAAATATTAATTGGGTAGTCCTCCGACACCATAATGAAGCGCCTGGCAAAATATGAAAAAAAAAAAATTTTTGGGGGGTGTCAGTGTCCCTTTAATAAACGTTTCGCCATTCAAGAGTAACAAGTGAAAAGAAATAGTCGAGCAATTTGTTTTTTTTTTAACCCACGGACTGATTGCGGTTTTCGGCAGAAATAAAGAGTAAGAAACAGATAAGCTAGAAAAAGAACGGAATAGGAGTAATTGTTCGCGCCTTCTAATCCAAGCCCTTCATTATGTGCTCGGCCTTGGAATTTGCGTGTATTAATTGTACTCTACTAAACGCCTTTATTTTTCCATAAGTCCGGCCTTCGTTATCACCGAGCGTGGGTGGTATCCTTTATTTTGTTTCTAGATCTATGTGTTTACATATCTAAAAAATTGATTACGTCAGACTAAGAAGGATGCGTCATTCAAAATGATTTTAGCCGTAATACGCCCAAGTTGGGATAAAAAGACTGGATTAACTAATTAAGTTTGACTTTCCTATGAGAGTTTGCCACCTTTGCACCCATAAAAAAATTAACGTCGCAGTCTCCAATTTGCATGTAGCGTTTTTTACCACAGTGTTTTGACGGCACGTCCTCGAGTGTCAATTTTTCTGGGACAGATTTCCTATGTCATGTCTGCGCACGACGTCTATGAGACGAATGCTCGTTAAGCTCAGGAAATATCAAATATGCAGCGGTGAAAAGTACCCTTCTGTGGAACACCATGCTGATATATACTCGCTGTATCGATAAGAAGGGCTTTATACTAATGAAACCAGGCGCTAAAGGTGACGTTACTCTTGCTCTGTATATGTAACACGTCTGCATCAAGGGCCTCTACAAACTTTTGGCCCTTGTAACACTGTAACCTAACCTAACGTAGTACAACCGCTGCACATCATTCTCTTGACTGTATGTGGCCACCCGTCATCGGGATATGATACTAACAAAAGCGGACTTGTGGACTTTTTCTTTGCTGACCAAATCTCGAGAAATAATACTGAGCTACTTCATCCGAAGAACTAAAAAAACTCCAGCTTTGTTCTCACCCTATCCTGCGCCGTCTTTGCCTTATAATATTGAACCTTAAAACATCAAGGAATGAGACATTCCCAGAAAGTTTACCAGTACATGAGTTTGCTCAATGATGGACACGCCAGCTCTAGCGCATTTTTTGTTGCACCTAAGAAGGCAGAATGCAAGTAGATGTAGGGTCTTCAATCCAATTTTGCAGGCAAATTAATGTTGTTTCTTTCCTAGACTTAATTTCAATGAATAATTCTTATGTATCAGGAGCGATGAAAGGAAAGTGTGACATTTCAGACTCTGCGACAAGTAAGTTAAGAAAACAAAAAAGAAGTATCCAAAGCTTGTCTCGTGAACTTAAATAGAGCCATCCTGAAAGCGTCAGAGTGAAAGCGGATATATTTAATAAAAATTTTTCTAAGCTAAGTCTCTTACAGAGATGTCGGATATTATTCTGAGGCTCCCAGAAAATTCAGTTTCCTGACGATTTCTGGAAACGAGTAACTTGCTTAAATGCGGTTGGATCGACGAATGATTACTTTTAGCAGCGTGTCTGATTGCCTTGTTCGTACCATCTTTTTTTCCCAGGCAACAAGTTCAGCTGCGACTGCAGGATCTCCTGGATCGCGCATCTGGCCAATGCCACCAGGAACGACAACTTCCGGCGCGAGCTGCGGCACATCAAGTGCGACTTCGCGGCGGCCGACGGTGCGACGGGTACCAGCAGCAAGGTGGCCCGCCTCAGTGCCAAGGAGCTCAACTGCCCCGAAGACCACGAGAAGCCCAAGTTCGAGAACTCGCGCCCCGATGCCAAGGTCGACAGCACGACAATGACCACCGTCGCTTCGCCGGACCAAGGCGACATCCTCGAACACCGGGACGACAAGAACCAGATCGAAGAGGAGGAGTCTGAAGAGGCGCTGGCCTCGGAGGCGCGGGACGACGCGACCGCAACGACGCAGGCAATTAAGAACGAGATTGACATTGTGCTGAGTCAGCGGAAGGTGATGCAGAAGCAAGCCGCCCACTCGCGGAAAGACAACGGAAACTCCGGCGCCTCGCTGGTCGGCTGGAGCATCACGCTGCAGATTTTCTTCGCCGTGGTGGCGAGCGGGATGACCACCGCAGGGTTTTTGGTCCGGCATAGCTGATCTCATCAAACCGAGATTATCCCTGTTTTTTCACTTAAAAAAAATGCGCACGACGAATAATGAGACCTATTAGATAGCAGAGTGGGTGCAAAAAACCACCGGTACGCTGTCAAACCTTTTACATCTCAGTCAATGTAAATTCTTGTACAGGGGTAGGAGTTTTCGCTTTCGGTTACGTTGATATTAATGTGCTGTATACTTACAACACCATAATGATATCGAAATTGCACCAAAGTGATCTTGATTATTTATTTCTGAAATGTATAAAAATTTACACGTCAAGATACGATGCTGCAAGAATCACTTTACCTGGCGGCGATGTCGGTGAAGTCTTCATTATTATTTATACATTTATTAACTACAGTGTAAGCTATCAGAAGTTTTTCGGTGAATGCTGCATCGGGAGGCGGTCCAAATAATATTCGCTAGACCTCTTTTAATCAATTTATCCAACGGAAAGGACGATCAATACAATGTCCCAATTGTAAAAAAACAAAATTATATTAAAATAATTTAGGTCAACAAATACAAATACATATTTAGACGTTAGATGTTTTGACATTGTGAGGTCGGTCTTCGAGAATATGGTGACAGTGGTTCTTGTCGTAGATAAGAGCGTGGGCTCAAGCTGGTAGCTTGGCTTCTTTAACCTGCCTTCCGTAGTAGTGATATTCTTCCGCACGCCCGTATCAGGTAGGGGTGGGGACTAAAGTCAGAATTTCTCTATTTTGCAGCGATAACCTTAGCTTTACGTGGTCTTAATTGCGGTTTCAAAAGAAAAAAAATGGGAGGTCTCCAAGATAGAGTAACCATCGGAGCGCGGTACCGCTCGCCCTTCTCATTCGCTAGTCAATAGGGAGTCTTAGGGAACCGTGTTTGCACATCCGATACGGTACAATGGGACCTCCAATACAAACTGCGCATGCGCTACCACACAAGGCTCGCGTATGCTCAGTTCGTACTGGAGGGCCCATCGAACCGTATCGGGAGTGCAAAAACGTTTCCCTAAAACTTTCTAATAGACTAGAATTGAACCGTACTCCTAGCTGGTACAGTCACTGACAAGGAGTGTGGCCTTAATCTTTTCTTTGTCTGGTCATTCGATCTTCGGAATCCTTCTCGTAGGATGCAGCAGTCTTGTTGGCTGAGAAATGATAGTAATATGTTTGGAATTTTCCACGCCCAGCATTATTCAAGCTCTCAATGACAATAGCGAGAACGTGAAAAAAAAGAGCTCTGTATCAAGGTACTAGGTAGCAACCGTCGTTTCACTCAGAGACTGCTCCGAAGAAGATAAGTATCATAACAAAACGCGAGCTGCCACTCCACGTTCCTATGAGGGTCCTTTTCGAGTAAACAAATAGAGAGTGCCGAAGGATTGGTGTTTTCTGTGCCTCACGATGCAGCATACATGCAATAACTTTCGAATGTATAGAAATACTCCCACAGCGATTGAGGTTCGAGATGATTTGCTGCGTGCCTACTTGAGACTTCTTCTTCTCTGTCTGGAGCCAAAGTTATTTGCGTGAGCAAATGACCGGTGGTTGGTTCTTAATGTGGCAGGTTGTCGGCCGGTGAGATCACCTCACATACATAAACGATCCCGCTCGCAGGAAGCGTTCCCGTGAGCTAAAACGGACGTCACATCGGTCGGTTAAACTCGGATGATTTGTTCTCGAAAACGCCTTTTGTTAAAAATAATTTCACTCTGTATTTATCTTTACTCTCTCATTCGTGCCTCTCATTTTATTTTCGGGTCCAGTGAGCAGAATTGGTATGTGTGCACCCAATACCTTGTTGCATGAATTATTACTTGACGATTAAGGGAAACAGTGATATTTGTCTTGGATAGTTTAGAATCTTGCGAAAGGCTAGATGTTTTTTTTTTTTTTTTTTTTTGGGGGGGGGGGGTTAGTTTGAAACACAAATAGGATTTACTCATCGTGCTTCCTTTGTGCGAATAAAAAAAATACTTGTATTTTATAGAACGTCGTGTGCATAGTTAACATTAAATAATTATTGACACCTCTGAAATAAGTTTCACGGAGAAAGCTTTTAACTGTAAAAAAGAACGTTTTCTAAAGAGAATTCATAAACACAGTATCTAAAACACATAGAACGCAGCCGAGTCCAACCTTAACAACTAACTCTTTAAGGCATTGCATTTTGGGGTGATTCTTTCTTATGTCACTGTCTCAGACTCTTCATGTGTTACAACTGAGATTTATAACACGAATGCAAACAAATATAATCCGGTTAAAAAATACAGTTTTGAATATTGTTATTTTTTCTTAAGGTAGTGGGTGATCCTATGAACCGCTCCCGTCAATGGTAAGCGTTCTAAGAAAAAGGACCTTGAGATTATTCTACTTCTTGTAGTTTCTCCAAAATGTACAAATGGAAACAAAAACAAAATTGCTATCAATGCTAGCGTGGCAAAAACAATGTTTGACAATTAAGAAGGAACATCCCCGAAGCGTGTGATTTCTGCTGTTTTGCGCATGGTCTCGACACGAGCCAGTTGAATGTTTGGGAAGCAATGTATATTCTAATGAAAGAATAAACAGAGGGACGAACGCGAAGACGCATGAAGATGTGTCTTCTTGTTTGTTCCTGTGTTTATTTTTTCACCGACGTATAATTTCATCAACGTGCTCACCTTCTAAACATAATATACTAGACGCGAATTTTTTTTGTGCCTTTCCTAGCGGCGAAGCTAATTAAGATGATAACTCATGATGATTTTATTTTGTCGGCATACTAAAGAAAAAGAATATTTTCAAAGCTTGTACAGATAGGGTGGAGTGTAAATATGAGTCATGTTAAAGGTAGAATGCATTAGTCGTGACACTAGCATCATATTGCGCACCCTAGACGTAGCTAGTCACAACGTGTTTTTGTCTCAATTTTGTGAGTGATTCCTTATGTTTCTTTTTGTGAAACACGTATTACGCACGCAATGATGACGATGCTATTTGGTGAATGCTAATATCAACCTGAATTAATATGAACGTGCATTTGACGCCAAAAACAAAGTAATAACTTTTATATGTGTCCTTGTTTGGATGTGGATTTTCTGACATTCCCGAAATGTTTGTTTATATAGTTTCGTCAGAAATGTTAGTATTATTCGCAACGGTGCCGTGGAAATTTTTTAGAAAATATCATTAAACTAAACGCGCGATCAAGGTCATTCTGCAACGGCTTCAGCGCAAATGCACTTCCATAATAATTTTCAATAAGTGTCCGTAATTTCTATACCAAGAACGCATGTATGTTTGTGCTCTAAAAAACAAAACAAAAGTATCTAGAGGCGTGATACATTTTTTTTTTTTTTTTTTGCAGGACCGCATGTTGACGATCCGTGCAGAGAGCGCAGTATCTGGCTAGTAAATTTCCTCTCAATAGAGGTTTTAACATTACACGGCGGCTCAAATATCGTTGTAATTTGCGTTTAGGGTTTGCATAAGAACTTCCAGGGGTGTTCACCTTAAGCTTGTACAATGTGTGCTCTTTTGAATATTGCGAATACTATGTGTATGATTTCCCAAAGCCCAGCGTAATTAGCTGAGCGTGAAGCGATATGAGATGTCAGGTGATCTATACACTCTCGGAAGGGCCTTGTATAGAACACCGCAATGCACTCGGAACGATATTTCTTTTATTTATTTTTAACCAGTGAGACAAGCGAACGGTGTCGTTGGTTGAAGTGGTTAAAAATACATAAAATATAGATGCTGCGGGTGCATTACGGAGAGGTGTGCTGCCAGGCACTTCCGATGGCGCTTATTCTCTAAGAAATGATGAGGGCTTCGACCCTGCCACTTTTGCTTGTGTGTTGTGTGTCCCCGCTTCTGCGATCATGCGACGCCCTGCTAGACAAGCGAGCTTCATCTGCCCCAGGATGTAAACCCAGTGCCTTTTTGGGTCAAATGTCAATTTTAGGAGAAGTAAAGTTCTGTTTTCCCGCCCGGCAAATTGTTGATTCTTTTTTTAGTTTCTGGCCCACGCTGAACAATCTGTTCGCTTGTACTTCTTGTTGTGATCTAACATATCCTAACCTGCTACCGTTAAAAAAAGAAGAAAATCTCTTAAAAAGATTTTTTTAAATATTAAAAAAAACAAAAAACTAAGAAGGTAAAAATAGACGTACAGATAGATTGGAAACATTAAAACTTTAACTTTTTGACTCAGTATATTTTCGTTTGCATTTAACGCAAGATGGCGCTGTAAACAACGAGCAGTGGGACGACAGGCTCTGGCCTGCCACGGAAATGTGGCTAACGAAGCCGTCCAGGGAGACCTAGGATGGTCTAGCTTCGAAGCCAGGGAAGCCACCAGCAAGATAAGTTATGATACACGACTCCGCCACATGGATCGAAACCGATGGGCCAAAAAACTTTTTGTATACACTCACATGACTGGGACAAGAACAAGGTGGCAGAAGCGCCTTTATCAACTCCAAAAAAAGTATGGCTTCTTTGCAGAACCCTTAGAGGTAGTGACGGGCGAGAGGTTGGAGTCGAAAGTGAGAAGCAGAGTACGTGAGAGGGAAGTCTTCCAGTGGTTTGAAGCCGCTCAAGCGAAGCCAACGCTGCTGGTGTACAGTAAAAACAAGCAACTGATCGCGGCTGAAACCCTGCTCTATGACAACAGCTTGGGCAGCCGCCTTCTGTTCGAGGCGCGAGCGGGCGCTCTACGAACTCTGGTATACCGGGCGCGGTTTGACCCCAAGGTGGTTTCCACGATGTGCCGCGCGTGCAGAGAAGAACCTGAGACAGTTGAACACATAGTGCTCTACTGTGAGTGCCTGCTGCCAACCCCACTGGTAGATCGCCGGCTTCACTCAGAGGCGATGCTAGCATATGCACTGGGCTTTAAAACGACGGCTGACTCAAACAAACCCTACACGGGCGAAGCAGACGACCCTCCACAAGACAGGCATGAGATTTCTACCATGCAGTGCGTGCGAAGGACGAAAGCGCGTCTGGAACACTGGT